AAAATTATTGTTTGTTCTCTCAAAATTGTCTGTCTTTTTCTGTTTATAGCACAAAAAGTTAAAACTGCACAGGCAATCAAATACCACCGAAAGAAAGAAAAAAAGGACATAAATGTAATTTGAGTGCAGCATTGCATGACCACACAATTGTCAGTTAAAGTAATGCAGTGCTGTACCGCAAAAAATAGCCTGGTCAGAAGGGGGGTAAATCCTCCGGAGATACAACCTTCTTCAGGAAACAACAAGCATGACAGGAAGTGTAAAAAGCTCCTTGAATATACCTTTCCATTACAGAGTACTCTGCTATAAATAGGAGACTAGGGAAAGCTGAGGCGGTAAATCCTCTGGAGGGCAAGTGGTTAAAGCTTGTGGGCCCTGATGCAAATGTTGACTTGGGGCCCCCCACTACCACTGCTGCTTCCACCACACATGCCAATATACTCCCACAAACAGTGGGCTTGTATGTAAAATAGGAAACTCAGAGGGCCAAACCTTGGTCTCTGACTTCTAGATTCACATACAAGCCCACCACGTTCCCCTTGCAGCTTGGTGGATGTGCACAATTGAGCAAGGCTGAGCAAGGTGCGGGGGGCTGAGCAGACAGTGTGTCGCTGGGGGGGGGGGGCTTGCCCCTTTACCCTGTGTAGGTGAAACTGGAAACTAACCTGCCCAGCCCATACCCCCTGATTTTACTGAATTACCTACGCCTGGTGACGCAGCAAGCACTTTTCCCCAGTGACACAGTGTAAAACCCAGTGTGAGAGGGAGGCTGCACAGGCCCCTTGGAGCATGGGTGGGGTCACAATAGATAGATAGATAGAGATAGATAGATAGATAGATAGATAGATAGATAGATAATAGAATAGGTAATAGATAGATCCTGTATATTGGGTATAGAGGCGTTACTAAAACCTGGTCCTGGTGCAAGGAATTATGTAAGGTCCCCTGACCCACCCTTTCCTCTGAGTCCTTCCCATTAATTACAGACCCTTTACTTCCCTTTATTATGGTCCTGCAGAGAGGCCGTTTCACATATTCTGCAGCGGGCCCCCTTCCTGCCATCCTGGGTAGGGTTGCCACCTTTTCTTCAAGTCAAACCTGACATGATGTAAGGCTCCGATGTTAGGGGAATGCTGTGGACTAAAGCCTCCCTTACATCAGAGTCCACATAGCACCCCTTACATCTGAGTCCCTCTTACATTAATGTACTCTCTGGGAGGCAGGAGAGAGAAGGGAGGGAGGAGGGAGACTTCACTCACAATGAACGGATGGTGATGTGATTCAAGCATCGTACGTCGGCACCTTTCCTAATCCGGCTGCAGGGATTCTCATCCACACAGCCCCTTCTCTGAAGCACAGGACTGCTGGAGAAGAGAGGGTGGGAGGAGGAGGAGCAGATCCCACTTTTTTCTCCTCTCCTGTCCATGCAGTGGGGGGGGGGGACTGTCAGTGCTGGCTCTGGGCTGTGTGAGAGAGACACTGTCGACTCAGAGTCCTGCAGCCAGCACCCCCCGCATCAGAGCCACAGTCTGGGCTCTTGGGGCCCCCCACAGTGGCAAAACTCCAGGGCCCAGTTGCAAGTGTGACATTTTGTGATATTCGTAATTCTGCCACTGTTGGATGTATTAAATGTATAGTGTATCCCCCATATAATGGATGGTGCCTGTAAAATATAAGAGACAGAAGTCCGCACATTGCCCCTCCCCACGCAATGGTGCCCCTTATCCTCAATGTGGCCCCTGGTCCCTCTCTCTCGGTGGGGTCCTCCTCTCTGTGGCCCCTGGCCTCTCCCCTGTCTCTCTATTTCAGTGGGGCCTCTCTCTCAGTGTGGTCCCTGGTCCCTCTCTTTGTCTCTCTTTCACTGGGGCCCCTCCTGCTCTCTCTCTCACCTCTTTTGTGCTTAGGTTGCCCCACACATATTTGGCGACACAGATCTGCAGGTACCTGAGGAGAAGCAGCTTGCTGGGAGCCATATCACTTGGATAGGCTGAGTATGAGGACAGAAGGATGGGAAGGCACAGCACTGTACCGGTTCCAGTTACACAGTGGGGTGGGGGGATCGGGCAATCAGCAGAGGAGAGGTTCTCAGACATTGGGAATAGGGACAGCTGCATCTCCAGAATGCATCACCTGGGAGGGTAGCGTTACTGGGAGAACTGAGCACAGTGCAGGCACAGGCCATGGGATACAGGAGGGGGGAGGGAGAGGGATCAGGAGAGGAGGGGATCCAGGGGTCCCTGTACAGTGTATATGAGGAAGGGGAACCTTAACAGGGAGGCCACACGGAACCCCTGGAGAATTGGCGGGGTCACCATTGCGACCCGTGTGACCCCTATAGCTACACCAGTGATGTCAGGTAAAAAGGTGTAGAACATTAGAAGAGGCTTGTGTGTTTAGCCTGCTTGTCTTCATAACCATTCAAACTCTTGTTAGTGTCTCACTGCTCAAGTCTCCACCAAAAAGTCCTATGTTTAGGATTTCTTTAATCTTGCAAGAGTGTTTGTGAATCCTTACTGGCCTTCCTTTCTCAGCGAGGAACATGGTATGAAATACAAGCAATAAGAAATATAAAATCACATAAACAATTTTATTGGGCTTGAAAAGACTGTGGTTAATTATTAAAAGTGATTACCCAATGAAATATTAATAAAACTGCAAACAATGTATAGCCAAAAATAAGCCTAGCTATAGCAGCTCAGGTCTACCTAAACCACCATATATCATAAATCTAATTCTATCAACTCTAAGCTGAATAATCATCCCCTTTTTAATAAAACTTATACAGTAACTAACATGAAAATTTTTAAGGATGGGAGAAAGGAGACCTAAACAATGCTCCAACAGCTAACATAGATCCATTGACAAACTGTTGGAATCCACAGCCAAAGAACCTTCAATTCTTGCATGTCATCCCATGTAGTCACTAATCGCTAATTGCTATAGTTTCTCTTTCATCCTCAAAGTACTCCTGGGGTTCTATTTTTTTTAATTGCTTTGCAAATGTCTCAACATTCATGCAGACATAATGAACCATAATGTTTGCATGAGTGTAATAGTTTCCTGTAATATTCCCTAACGTGTAGTCCTAATAAAAAAAATAACTATATGAATATTCAACCATGAGAGTTAAGTGACACGTCCAGGTATAAGTGTGGCTAGTTTGTGTACATTTATGTGTGTAGCCCTCTTTTTGGAGGGGGGTTATGAAAAATGGCCCTCTCGAAACAGGATACTACACTAAACCTGTAGTTAAATAAGAGAACCAGAACCTTCACTAAGTGGAAAAGTGGGATGATAATAAAGTTGCCAGTGCCTTTACCCAGGACAGGTCCTCTGTGAGCAGCAGGAATTCCTATACTTGGAAATGAATCAGTAATCTAAATGAAGTAATTGAACCAGAAGAACTGCAACCAGCATATACATTAACCATAAGCATATAAATGCACATGAGTATACTGAAGAAATAATACAAGATTTATAAGAAAAGATTAATAACAGTACATACATTCATTGTATAAACAGATATTATCAGCAAAGTCCCATTGCAGGGGCTCCTGAGGATTATTATTATTATACAGGATTTATATAGTGCCAACAGTTTGCTCAGCGCTTTACAATATAACGGGAGACAATACAGCAACAATACAGTTCAATACAAGAGGGAAAGGAGGGCCCTGCTCCTTCGAGCTTACAATCTAGGAGATGCACCATCTGTCTTTGTGTCAGAGACCTGAGGGCAAGATCTTCAGTGATGAGGAGACCATTCAGCTGTTACCTAACCAGCCTGGAATGCAGCCCTAGTTATCTGGCAATAATCATTCCGTCTGATCCAGTACTAGTAGCATGGACAGACCATCCGCCTGAGACCTTCTCTCCACTTCCTCCTTCCAAGATCTTTTCCCAACAACCCCAGCATCAGGAAGTGACATGCATCATTCTACATTACAGTGTGATACTAGCAGGTGACAGTACAGGGCAGTAGATACCGACGTGTCAATAACATAAATCAAATAATCATTAAGCACACTTGGTAACAAAAAACCTCAATATTCGTGTATAAAGTCCCAAAATAAGTCCCAAAATCTCAGTGTATAAAGTCCCAAAATAAGAATCCAAAAAAATCACAATCCAAATAGTTCCCAAAGAGGTTATCTCTAAATCAATGCTTTCTTAAATCTTCATATCTTCAAACCGCCTTTGTTAGGTGTACTCCAAAAATAAATCTTCATATACCCTCAAGGTAGTAACACAAGCCATAGATGAGATTAATTCCAACCTTTTTCCTTCAGCCTTTCCAACCACTTCCCATAGACCTCATAAACAGACCAGGGATCAGTGTATATAATAAATAGTCACAGTACTTTATTATAGCAACTTACATTAAAATAAGAAGAGATCAGCTTCCACACACAAAACGATTAATTCCACAATCGAACCTCTCCTCAGTGGTGTTATAATATCCTCAGCATACCACTTTAGGGAAGGAATATGTAATTGGTAATGAGTTCCCCACTACCCATACACCTGTATGGAGGATTCCAGGGCATACACAGCCACGTGTTCCAAGAGCAAAGATGGCCGCCACAGCACTTCCGGAAGAGCGTCAAAACGTCACCACGTCACGTGCCCCGGACGCGTTTCGTCACATCCGGGCTTTATCAACAGGGACCCTGACCCTGGACCACATTCAAACAAACAGGAATGTAACAGATACAAAAACACACTCTTCATTTCATGAATGAGTACATAGCATATGGTTCCCATTGAAAACTAATTAGACAGAGTTTAGATAATAATTAGACATTGTTACACTTTAATATACGTGGTATATGCCATTCGTGTGTTTACATATCTTCCGTGGAACAGTTACCAGTAATTAAAAACACAGCACAGTCATTAAGAAAGTAAACATTTAAAAATGGTTACAATTTGAAATAAAACTTGCATTAGTTATGGCCATGGAGAAATATAGACGTCTAGCTGAACATCAATGGCATTGAGTGCACATCTGTGTTTAAGGACAATCTTCTTCAGGAAACAAGCATGACAGGAAGTGTAGAAAGCTCCGGCATTCCTTGGAGGGGACATGTACACAGATCATCAGAGCACTGGTGATCAGTGTGCCCTGATGATCTGTGTAGCTCCAGCAGTGCCACCTGTCTGTGTCCATCAGTGCCAGCTCTCAGTGCTCATCCATGCCACCTGCCAGTGCCCATCAGTGCCACATCAATGCCACATATCAGTGCCTACCAGTGTACATCAATGCCACATATCAGTGCCCATCTGAGCTGCCTTTCAGTGTCACCCATCAGTGCCAGTCAGTGCTACCTATCAATGCCAATCAGTACCACCTATCAGGCTCAGTGCCAGTTAGTGTCGCCTATCAGTGTGCATCAGTGCTGCTTATCAGTGCCGCCTAACAGTGCCAATCAGTGCTGCCTATCAGTGCCACCTATCTGTGCCGCCTATCAGTGCTGCCTTTCAGTGCCCATCAGTGATGCCTGTCAATGCCCATCAGTGCCACCTACCAGTGCCTCCTCATCAATGCCCATCAGTGCCACCTATCAGTGTCCATCAGTGTAGCCTATCAGTGCCCATCACTGCAGCCTCATTAGCACACATCAGTGAAGGAGAAAAATCACTCATTTACAAAATTTTATAACAAAAACTAAGAAAAAACGGGGGGGTTTTTCAAAATTTTCAGTGGTTTTTGGTTTGTTTAAGAAAAAATAAAAAATCCAGAGGTGATTAAATACCACCAAAAGAAAGCTCTATCTGTCACAAAAAAAAGGTTAAATTTCATATGGGTACAGTGTTGCATGACCACACAATTGTCATTCAAAATGTTAAAGCGCTGAAAGCTGAAAATTGGCCTGGGCAGGAAGGGGGTATAAATGCCCTGTAGGCTAGTGGTTAAAGAATAAAATACTTTATCAATATGATTAACATAATTGCCTCTTCACCTCTGAAAAATGTCATGCCTCCTTTCTAAACATATACAGTATACATAACCAGTCATTTCATGATAAAATATAGGAAGTATATTGAATTAATTTAGATATCCAATACCTATACCAACATCACTGGATATGTTGTGGAACATGCTGATATTATATTTAAGACTGCATTGCAGATGGAGAGTGCTACTTTGTGTTTTATTATTGAAAGCTGCGAATATTACAGAATGAAGGTTAGAGTACAGTCCAGAGCATGCTATTCTACTCCTGGACCCCCCCCCCCCCCCCCGACTTGCATTTTTCTTCGACCTGGTGAGATCTAGTGGAATTGTTTATGCAAGACATTTAGGTTTTAGTTTTTTTAATAATATGGTAAATTTTGGCCTTCATCGCATTAGCATTAACACTTTAATAACACTATTAACACTATGGTGTAGGTCTGTGTGCTTGATTTGGATGGTGATAATGGTACTGTATTGATACTACAACTGTAGGACTGATATACTACAACTATGTATAAAACAATCATAAATTATATAGTGGTTGGAATGAAAAGTTCAATCTCACTGATTTCTGATGATACGAAGCTAAGCAAGGCAATACCTTCACAACAGGCCCTTTACAAAATAATCTAGAGTGGGTGACTGGGGACAAACAGAAGGCAAATGTATTAAATACCTTCTTCAGCTCTGTGTGTACAAAGGAGCATGGGGGAGCTCTTGTCCATAGTGGGCATGGTATTGACACAGCTCCAGATGATCCACATTGACTCACAATTACCGTATTTTTCGCTCCATAAGACGCACCTGACCATAAGACGCACCTAGGTTTTAGAGGCAGAAAACAGGAAAAAAAAATTCTGAACTAATGGACTGCAGACATAGTACAGGAGATGACCAGAGACTGCGGACACAGTACAGGAGATGACCAGAGACTGCGGACACAGTACAGGAGATGACCAGAGACTGCAGACATAGTACAGGAGATGACCAGAGACTGCGGACACAGTACAGGAGATGACCAGAGACTGCGGACACAGTACAGGGATGACCAGAGACTGCGGACACAGTACAGGGATGACCAGAGACTGCGGACACAGTACAGGGATGACCAGAGACTGCGGACACAGTACAGGGATGACCAGAGACTGCGGACAGCACAGGGATGACCAGAGACTGCGGACAGCACAGGGATGACCAGAGACTGTGGATAGTACAGGGGATGACTGCTGACCTTTGGGGAGGGGGGGGAGCGGGTACCCGAATTTGACAGGTACCCGCTCCCACTTCCGCTGAGTTGTTCTTTCATCTTACCTGTTCCTCTATCCAGCCGCGCGCTGTCTTCCCAGCTTCTGTAATGGCGCTCGGCATGACAGCCGGGTGCCCAGTGCACATGAGCGAGAAGCACTTGCGCTTTGTGATTGGTCCGGCGGCTTCTGGGATCTGACATGTGTCCCAGGTGCCGCCTTACCATTCACAAAAAGCACCGCTTCTTGCGCATGCGCACTTGGCATCCGGCTGTCATGCCCACACTACAGAAGCCGGGAAGACCGCGCCGCTGGATAGAGGAACGGGTAGGATGAAAGAACAACTCCACGGAAGTGGGAGCGGGTACCTGTCAAATTCAGGTACCCGCTCCCCCTCCCTCCCCAAAGGTCAGCAGTCATCTCTAAGGTCCCGCTGTAGAGCTGAGCGGCCGGCCCGGTATTCTGACACGGCGGCAGTGGAAATACCGGACCGGCCGCTCCATATTCGCTCCATAAGACGCACTGACATTTTCCCCCCTTTTTTTGGGGGAAAAAAGTGCGTCTTATGGAGCGAAAAATACGGTAATATGATCCAAATATATTTAGACAGAATAAAGGTGAATAAAGCACCTGGGCTGGATGGCATACACCCACGGGTCCTTAAAGAATTGAGTTCTGTCATTTCAAAGCTATTGTTTCTAAATTTTAGGGACTCTTTAATGACTGGCATAATAACACTTGATTGGCGTAAGGCCAATGTGGTGCCAATATTTAACAAGGGCTCAAAATCTTTACCAAGTAATTATAGTTTAACTTCTATAGTTGGGGGAGTTTAATAAAAGACCACATAGATGAATTCTTGCTGGAAAAAATATTTTAAGCAACAGACAGCATGGATTCATGAAAGACAGAAGTTGTCAAACAAATCTTACAAAATTTATGAGGAGGTGAACTAAACCTTGGACAGAGGGGTGGCGGTGGACGTGGTATACTTGAAGTTTGCAAAAGCATTTGATACAGTTCCCCACACACGGCTAATATGTAAGGTAAAGTCTACGGGCTTGGAAAAATCTGTATGTAAATGGATAGAAAACTGGCTAAAAGATCGTATTCAGAGAGTAGTGGTTAATGATTCATACTCTGAATGGTCTAGGGTTGTCAGTGGTGTACCCCAAGGTTCAGTGTTGGGACCCTTACTTTTTAATATATTTATAAATGATATAGGGTCTGGGATTAAAAATACCATTTCAGTCTTTGCAGATGACACCAAGCTGTGCAGTAGAATAATGTCCTTACAGGATGTCTTCAACTTACAAGCCAACCTCAATGCACTGTTTAATTGGGCAACTATGTGGCAAATAAGGTTTAATGTTGATAAATGTAAGGTTATGCACTTGGGGGCTAAGAATATGCATGCATCATACATACTAGGGGGAGTACACCTGGAGGAATCAATGGTGAAGAAGGATTTGGGAGTTCTGGTAGATCACAAGCTTAATAATGGCATGCAATGCTAAGCTGCAGTTTCTAAAGCGAGCAATATCCTTTCTTGTATTAAAAAAGGTATAGACTCCAGAGAGAGACATATCATATTACCCCTGTACAAATCATTAGTAAGACCTCATCTGGAATTTTCAGTTTTGGGCACCAATTCACAAAAAGAACATTGGGGAACTGCAGAAAGTACAGAGAATGGCAACCAAACTCAGCTATGAGGAAAGATTAGAGTAACTGAATTTATTCTCTCTTGAAAAGAGGAGATTAAGGGGGATATGATCAACATGTATAAATACACCAGTGGTTCATATAGTGAACTCGGTGTAGAGCTATTCACCCTGAGGTCATCACTCTTTACATCTGGAGGAAAAGAAATTTAGTCTCCAAACACGGAAAGGTTTCTTCACAGTGAGAGCTGTGAGCATGTGGAATAGACTCCCTCGAGAGTTGGTTCTGGCCAGCTCAGTGGATTGCTTTAAAGAAAGGCCTGGTTTCTTTCCTAGATACACAGAATATAACTGGATACTAACATTTATAGGTAATGTTGATCCAGGGAATATCCAATTGCCTCTCAGGGGATCAGGAAGGAATTTTTTTCCCTGCAGAAACAAATTGGACCATGCTTTACTAGGCTTTTTTTTGCCTTCCTGTGGACCAACTGTGTGTATAGGATTATATTTTTTAATTTTTTTTTAATGGCTGAAATGTATGTACTTTTGTCTTTTTTCAGCCAAACTACAGTTGTGTCCAAAATTATTCAACCCCCAATGCTGTAAAGGGGTTTAGGGACTATAGTGTACATTTGGAATTGTATTCAGAATCAAATCCTACAAGGACGTTGTAACTACCCAAATGCAACTAAAATGACATCAATTGTTTATGTAATACAGTAGTAAATGGTTCTTATGTGGTTTCTTCATTGCCACAATTATTCAACCCCTTAAAGACTACCACTCTGAAGAACAGAGGTTCATACAGGTGCTTTCCATCAGGTATTGAAAACACCTGTGGATGTCACCGAGCAGCAATCAAGCATAATAAGCACCAATTAGGCAGCTTTAAAATGACTGTGATACTCAGCTCCTTCTAGACATTTACTGGTGTGGTTACAAACATGGTGAAGGCAAGAGAATGGTCCAGGAAGACAAGAGAAGAGGTGATTTCTCTTCACAGGAAGGGCAATGGCTATAAGAAGATTGCAAAGATGTTAAACATACCAAGAGACACCTTAGGAAGCATCATTCGCAAATTCAAGGCAAAGGGCACTGTTGAAACGCTACCTGGTCGTGGCAGAAAGAAGATGCTGACTTCGACTGCTGTGCGCTACCTGAAGCGTAGAGTGGAGAGAAGTCCCCGTGTGACTGCTGAGGAACTGAGAAAAGATTTGTCAGATGTGGGTACAGAAGTTTCAGCCCAGACAATAAGACGCACACTGCGTAATGAAGGCCTCCGTGCCAGAACTCCCAGGCGTACCCCCTTGCTGTCTCCAAAGAATAAGAAGAGTCAACTGCAGTATGCCAAAAGCCATGTGGACAAACCACAAAAGTTGTGGGATAGTGTTCTGTGGACTGATGAAACAAAATTAGAACTGTTTGGGCCCATGGATCAACGCTATGTTTGGAGGAGGAAGAACAAGGCCTATGATGAAAAGAACACCTTGCCTACTGTGAAGCATGGTGGAGGGTCAATCATGCTTTGGGGCTGTTTTGCTTCTGCAGGTACAGGGAAGCTTCAGCGTGTGCAAGGTACCATGAATTCTCTTCAGTACCAGGAGATATTGGATGGAAACGTGATGCAGTC